CATTATTTTTTTCAAACATATAGATGGATATAATAGTTTGTGTGGATGGAGGAATACACCCTTGTTCCGCTAATAGATCTCTGATCATCTTTGTGATTTCTGTGTACCTTAACAAGGAGAGATTGTGTCTGTGCAAATAGGACTGTACAGGCACTGTTCAAGACATGGGTTCTAGGTATCTGGAATTTTGAATGTAAAGTAAGTTTCCCCAAACTACACTTTATCCACTGACCTACAACATGAGTACAATAGAAGATATCACACTGTCTTCTAAGAAAATGAGACTATGTGTCCTCACATCTAAATATGGGAGTGTTGTCAAATACTTGGAGTTGCTTTCATGCACTGATTATTTGTGAATTCGTTTTGGCAGTTCTGTGTTCTCCAAGTGATTGATTATGTGCCATCAAGTTCTTATTGACTCTTAATGACCATGTGGATAGATTTTTTTTCTTTCACATCTTCCAGTGATGCCCCCATTGCCATTATAACTTCCACAGTGGGCAAGGTCTTTGCATAATGTGTCCAAAATAGGATAATTTAAGCCTCCTGCATCAAATGAAAACCTCTGTATTGATTTGTTCCAGGTTCCATTTGTTTTCCTCGCTCTCCATGAACTTTTCAGAAATCTTCTCCAATATTAAAGTCCAAAAGCATCAATATTCTTCCTTTGCTGCTTCTTTAAACACCAACCTTTGCTTCCATAGACTATTCTCCTAGTATCACTTAGATATTGTTTAGTAATATCTGGAAGAATTCTTCACATTAACTGAAAGGCATAAAAACCCTGTTCAGCTTGCTATTCCAGTCACTGTTCTGATTTCAGGCAGACTGCAGAAAAATTGTCCTTACTTGGGGGAGAGATCTCTGTAAAATGGACATCAAAGATGATCAGGGGACTGGAGGATAAAACATATAAAGAACAGTTGCTGGAATTGGGTATATCTAGTTTAATGAAGAGAAGGACTAAGGGGTAACATGATAGCAGTGTTCTAGTATCTCAGGGGTTGCCACAAAGAAGAGTCAAGCTATTCTCCAAAGCACATGAAGGCAGGACCAGAAGTAATGGATGGAAACTAATCAAAGAGAGAAGCAACCTAGGACTAAGGAGAAATTTCCTGACAGTTAGAACAATTAATCAGTGGAACAACTTGCCTCCAGAAATTGTGAATGCTCCAACACTGGACGTTTTTAAGAAGAGATTGGATAATCATTTGTCTGAAATGATACAGGGTTTCCTACCTGAGCAGAGGGTTGGACTAGAAGACTTCCAAGGTCCCTTCCAGCTCTACTCTACTCTACTCTACTCTACTCTACTCTACTCTACTCTACTCTACTCATAGTGAATATTTACAGTTGACTAAAATTGGAACTGTATTGGCTAATGGAACTTTATTTTGTTTCCATGGACAGCCTTCAGGTGCATTGTACCTGTTTATAATTCCATGAATCTCTCTGCATTGTTCCTGTTCTGGAATACTAAGAAATTGATGCTTGTCCAGCACTGCCATTCCTTTGTTTTTCACACAAAGTGGAGGAGATAGCAAACCAGACTTCATTAGATGTTCCATGTTGCACAAGTAAAACAGAAAGCTTTCTCTCTCGTACTTCCAAACCAACAGTTGCAACAAACATAATAAGACAGTACAAGGAAATTGCTTATTACTCTCACAGGACTGGAAAATAAATCAATTAAGCTCTTGTTGTTTATAGACTACTGTCACTTTCCAGGCTGAGTCATTTTGCAGTCATAACTGCTCTGATTTTTCATGACTCTTTCTTGGGACTGTAGGAACAGAATATTGGAATGAAAACTGTATTCCACTTTTCATTAGTTAACTCTATTAGTGGTTTGAACTACCACAAATATATTTCAGGCTTTATGATCCTATCAAGATTACAGTAGAAAAAAAAAAGAAGGTGCTTGAAAACAAACATTTTGATCAATATACATATGTGAATTTGCTTTTGCATTATAATTGACGTATCATAGAAGAAGTGAGAAACTCAGTGCCCTCCTGTTCTCAAAAGCTTTTCTGTTTCTTAAAAAGCACCGTCGTGGTTTCAAAAGATCTATTTTTAAGCCGTGTGAGGCTGTAGATCCAGAAGCTTGTGGCTGTGAGATACATATTTTGATCAAAATCTGCCTATTGGCTTTAGATATCCAGTAGTTTTTGATCTAAAACAGGTCTCTTTTGTGGCCCTGAGCTTACTGTATGTTGCCTCTGCACTTCTGGAGGGTAGCAACTATAAGGTAAAAGGAGTAGTTTTGATATTTTCTAATGGTTATCCCCCAGCCACTTTAGAAAAAAAAGCTTCCTTCCTGATTATCATTTTGCTCAACTAAGGACATTTCAGAGCTAGATATTACTTAGCTATTTCAGTTCCTTATTTTGTCTGTATACCTTACTCCAGCCTTGCCCATAGGACTTGCTATTCGTTAGGAAGTAGAGCAGAGGTCTCTAACCTTTCTGGGCTCGAGGACTGGAGGGAAGGAGAGCAGCTTCAAAATTGGTGTGCGCACACAGGGCCATGCACCCTGGCGCGGCACTAGCAGCCCCATTTGCACATGCGGCATACACTGGTGCCATGCACATGCACAAACAGCTGTGCACCCCCCACGGCAGCTAGCAGTGCATGCACAAATGGGCTGCAGACACCTGCCCCGCACTAGCATCCCCGTTTGTGCCCACGCACATGCTCAAACAGGGCTGCAGGCACTCGCATGAGTGGAGGGAATGCACACTGACATGTGCGTGCACCGGGCAGCCGTTTCAACGGCCCACGGGCCAAGAGCCCGTGGCCTGCTCCTGGGCCATGGACCATAGGTTGGGGACCCCTGCAGTAGAGCCTTCTGACAATGAACTGGCATAGAGAGCTGAATAGCATGTGATTCCTTTCTAGCATGGTGAGGAGGCGACTCCATAGCCATTTAGCAAAGAGGCAGACACCAGCTTTTCTATGAAGGGATTCTGTTCTTCCTCTGAAGTCTACAGTTCTACGTGGTTTGTTCTGATGTCCTCCTTAGTAATATGTTGATTATAAAAAAATATGGGTAAACAGAAGGGAGGCATACCATTTCTCTAAGAAACAAGTACACTAAACTGTGTACATTACCATTCTACCCCCTCCAAAAGCTGTATCACCAGCTTTTCTGTGCTGAAAGAATTAAAGTTGAGTAAACAAAATTAAGGTCGTGCCAGTCTAGATACTAAAAGGCATGTTCCAAAACTGATATTAGTGTATTTGAGCGGACTCATGATAAAAGTATAACAAGCATCAAAAGAAGGAGGTTCTATGGGAAGGGGCTGGTGGAATGAAGATAGATTTTTTGGGAGAAACAAAATAGAGGCCTTTATAAATTAAGAATGGATGGTGAATGGTGTGGGGGCAAAAATTAAATGTTCATGTTTGTATTTGGACTGAATTGAAACATATGGAATTTGGTCTTGTGACAATAAGATGCCACAATGCAAAGCTTTAAATAAAATTAGATGTTTAGACTTGGGATCTTGGGATCTACCACATGGTCCTATGGCATCAATATGCCCAAGGATACCTCTTTTGCTGCTTGTCAAATATCATGTCGACTTGACTTTTTATATTTTTCAAATATATATTTTTAATATGTTTATTATGCTTACAGCCATGGTGGCACAGTGGTTAGAGTGCAGTACTGCAGGCTAATTCTGCTGACTGCTATCTGCCAGCAGTTTGGCAGTTTGAGTCTCACCGGCTCAAGGTAGACCCAGCCTTCCATCCTTCCGAGGTCGGTAAAATGAGGACCCAGATTGTTGGGGCAATGTACTGACTCTGTAAACCACTTAGAGGGGGCTGTAAAGCATTGAGAAGTAAGAACAATCAACCAATGGAACAGACTGTCTTCAGAAGTTGTTGGTGCTTCATCACTGGAGGCTTTCAAGAAAAGACTGGACTGCCATCTGACAGAAATGGTGTAGAGACTCCTTCTTGGGCTGAGGGTTGGACTAGATCAGGGGTCTCCAACCCCGGGTCCATGGACCAGTACTGGGCCGTGGCATGCCAGCAACCAGGCTGCACAAAGAAGCAAACCCCATCCGCAGGATGCAGGCAACACACAAAACCATGCACCCTTTGGTCCGCGGAAAAATCTCTCTCCACGGAACCGGTCCCTGGTGCCTAAAAGGTTGGGGACCTCTGGATTAGATGACCTACAAGGTCCTTTCCAATTCTGTTATTCTAGTCTGGTCTGGTCTAAGTGTTATTGCTGTTTGAAAAATAGGAATTCACCTTGCTGTAAAGCAGTGGTTCTCAATCTTTTTAATGCCGCGATCCCCAACCGGTCGTAAGTTGAGGACTACTCAACCGGTTGTAAGTCGAGGACTACTCAACTGGTGCAGCAGCATTTGCAGAATGGGACTTTTGGCGGGCTCAGCAGGGCAGAGACAGCCTGGACAATTCTTATTGGCTTTTGAAAGCCAATAGAATTAGACTGTATTCAAGAGAGTCTATTCTATTGGCTTTCAAAAGCCAATAGAATAAAAGGGAGTAGCACAGCTAAGGAAAAGGGGGGAAAAAATGGCAGACTGCGTTGTTTGGCGACCCCCGTGAAATGGTCATTCGACCCCAAATGGGGTCCCAACCCACAGGTTGAGAACCACTGCTGTAAAGAATCAGCCTTTTGTATCATCATGATTTAAAGAATGCCTCTTGTCTTTAGTTAGGATTCCTAAGCTTCTTAGAAAATAAAAATAGCAAATGATGCAGCCCACTGTGTTCACTGGAAATGCACTTTACTGTTTAGAAAAAGGGCAAAGGTAAGCAGAAGTAATAAAATCAATCTGCTGGATTGTGGGAGTGGCAATTGACATTCTGGTAAATAGTCATAAAGTACTCATTTGTGGAGGAACACTCGTGTGTCTGGTATACTTTGATGAAGCAATAAAGGCAGTTTTCTTTGAGGTGAGGAGAATCTCCTTCTAAAAATGCCTAGTAATCATTTCTTTGTTTCTCTTCTCCAGTGTGTCCTCCCACATGCAAGTCTCAGGGCTGTACCCCAACTGGCAAGTGCTGCCATACAGAGTGCCTTGGCAATTGCCTTGAGCCCAACAATCCACGGAAGTGTGTGGCGTGCCGGAATTTCTTTTTGGATGGCAAGTGTATAGAAACATGTCCACCTAATTACTATCGCTACAAAGGCTGGCGGTGTGTGACTTTTGACTTCTGTCAGGAGCTGCACAATAAATGTAAGATGGCCCGCAAGTCTGAATGCCATGTTATCCACAATGGCGAATGTGTCTCTGATTGCCCTTCTGGTTACATCTTGAACTCTACCAAGTGAGTTCTTCTTTTTTATCTTCTCTTCTTATTGCTGTGTAGAGATAGCTGGTTTTTGAGAGGTATATCAGGATTAGTAGCAAATAAATTACAAATGAGAAATAAAGAAGGGGGAGGGGGAAATAGCATTTTGTGCCAAGAAATAACAAAGAAACGTGCAATCCAAAATATTGGGAAATTAGTCGTAGTTCCCAATAAGAATAGAAATGCTCTTTTTTTTCTCCCCGTAACATGAAAGTCAAGAGTAGAACTAAATTATGAATATTCACTCTCTAAGTATAACTCAAGATATATTCTGCACACTATGCTAGTCATTTTAGATTAGACAGTATTGATTGGAAATATGTTTAATGTATGCATATATTATTTAACAGCAACTTAGTACTTCTGTAGTTTATGGAATTGGATGAAATGTTTAAATATATATGCACATATATATGCTCATATTTGTGCTGTCTTCCAAATATGTGGAAAACATTCCTTGGTTTTCAGTACTTGGAATTTGCCTCCTTCCAGCTCATCATAAATTTTGTAAAGAGACGGGGTGTTGTCTTACCTGAACGCCTTTTCTCAGCATGGAGATGGAGAATGGATTTTCTGATTCATTAGTTCAGTGATGGCGAACCTTTTAGAGACCGAGTGCCCAAACTGCAACTCAAAACCCACTTATGTGTCGTCGGGTGCTGGGTGGGCGTGGCCCGTTGGGTGGGCGTGGCCCATTGTGTGGGCATGGCTGCAGTGGTAACGGCAGACTGGATGGGATTGAAAGATTCAATCAATCAATTCCAACTTCGCAAGATCTTTTTTTTTCCCTGCGAGAAGTTGAAATCGATTGATTGATTGAATCTTTTTTTTTTTTTTTTTGGCACAAGGTGGTAGAGACCTAAAGCGAAAAGGTTTTATAAAACCCAGCTGAAGGCCTAGGACTAGGGTGACAGCGCGCGTGCCCACAGAGAGGGCTCTGAGTGCCACGTGGCACATGTGCCATAGGTTCGCCACCACGGCATTAGTTCTTCTTACATTGTAAAGAGGGAAAAAATGAAGAGCAACGTAGGAAGAGGAAATGGACAATTTGGAGCATTCTCAATAAAAAAAAAGATAATTGGCAATTCAATTGTTTATCACAGGAGAGCTTGTTTCTATTTCTATTTTATTTCTATTTTGATTCTTAATTTTAAGCTGCTCAGAGTTGTATGAAGATTGTGTAGTCTATAAAATAAACAAATAGTAGATCAGATTTTTTTCTGAATATTAGTATTAATTGTAATATTTTTCAATTCATTTCATTCCAAGGACTTTAAACTAATATGGGGTTTTGAGCTTGGTGGCAGTTTTCTTTGCTTTTCTGCAAGTAAATCTATCCTAGTATGATAGCATTTTGCTGGGAATATACCAACTATGTTATCTGCCTGCCAATTTCACCATGATAGATTTTTTTTAAAAAAAATCCTACCAGATGATTGAATCCAGTGCAAAAATCATGTTTGAAATTTGAATTATTAGGAAACCAGGAAGATAACAAACCAACGTAACCACGGGGACAGGATGGTAGCTATGTTATCAAATTCTTCATCCTGGTTGAGGCTGGAAAAAAAATGGCCTGAAGAGATTAGCGAATTATTAAGGCACCACCTGTTTGCAGATTGTAGGTTCTTGTAATAGTGGCTATGAATTCTAGAATCCTTTCCCAGATTGGAAAAGCTAGTATTTTATTGCGCCATTATCCATTATATTAAGCGTTCGACAGCTTGAGTGATCCCCTCTGGTATTTTCTTTTTCAGCTTGCTGTGCACACCCTGTGCGGGTCTTTGTCCAAAAACGTGTGATGTGGGTGAAGAAAAGATAATTGATTCTGTTACTGCTGCACAGGCGCTCCGAGGCTGCACCATTGTGAATGGAAGTTTGGTTATCAACATTCGTGGAGGAAGTGAGTGTCTACATCTCGTTTTACCTTGTATCAAGAGAAAGTGTAAACATTTTTTTTTTTTCTGTCCAGCAACCCTGCCATGATGAGCAGGGATTAAAATTGCAATTTTGTTTTTAAAGTTTGGTGGGGGCTTAGATTTGGAGGATATTCCAAAATTTTAATCCATCAGAAAGCCACAATTTTGCCAGTCTATTTTCAATAATGCAAATTTACAGAGTTCAGGGGTGTAAAAGTGTGGCCTAAGGGCTAAATGTGGCCTGCTGACATCTCTTTTCGAGGGTAAATTAAAGAGGAAACTGGCAGATTTAAATCTTGCAAAAACATAAGGAATCTATTTCATCTCTTAACACACACACACACACACATACACACACACACAATTGCAGATCCTATTCACTTAATGCGGTTCTCAAAAGCTTGACTGTGGAAGTTCTACGCTCCTATCATGGGTAGTCCAACCCAGGCCTAATAAGATAAACAAACACACTAGTAAAGGACAAAGGAGCAATGCCTGGGAAAGACCATGTCATATGTGTCTGTATTGGGCCATGGAAGCTACTTGCTGATGGTCATCTCTGGTGGTTGTAATGGTGACTTTGGTACTTCACATAGGTCAGGGCCCAGTATAAATAAGAAGCTGTTCTTTGTTCATAATTTTGTGGCTTGAATGGCTGATGTTTCATCTTCCTTTAGCTAACATTGCTGCTGAGTTGGAAGCCAACCTTGGTTTGATTGAAGAAATCTCAGGTTATTTGAAAATCCGTCGCTCCTATGCCCTGGTCTCTCTCTCTTTTTTCCGCAAGCTGCACCTGATCAGAGGACAGACTTTGGAAGTAGGGTGAGTTCAGTTCTTCAGGGATATCTTGAACCCCTGAAAATACCATTGAGATCAATGGTATCTTTCCCCACTGCTGTTTTATTACAAAACATCATAAGCAAGTCAATCTGCTATTAAAGACAAGGGGGTAGGACAAGTGATAATAGGTTTTGATCTCCTGTTCTTTGGTCCCTATTATCAAGACGTTTTGAGGGGGATTTAGAAATGAGAGCTGATTACAAAAGAGGCAGCTTGGCAGTCTCCTCTTTCATTTTTTGGGCATTTGTTTTCTTCATGTCTTTTTCCTCCTTATCCAGAAATTATTCATTTTATGCCCTGGACAACCAGAATCTCCGCCAGCTTTGGGACTGGAGCAAGCACAAGCTCTCTATTGCCCGGGGGAAGCTGTTCTTCTATTACAACCCCAAATTGTGCCTGTCAGAAATCCATAAGATGGAAGAGATCTCAGGAACAAAAGGGCGCCAGGAGAAGAATGACATTGCTGTCAAGACCAATGGTGACCAGGCTTCTTGTAAGGATCAATTGCTGCTATCCAAGGAAATGAATAATTCTGAAATGATGTGTCTTTTCTTAATTATGCATGAGCGGAGGCTGAACGTTATCTTACTGGTTAGGATGCACATAGATACTCTTTTGGTGTATCTGTGTGCATTTATGTACATCTTAAGTAACATTTATTATTTCACAGCCTCTAGTTTTTTCTGTTCATTAGCAAATTGTTATTTTGCATTAAGACTAAGGGGTCAGGCAAAGACAAAAAGGCATATTTCTCTCAGTGACTTTAGGAACCATGCTACCACTCTCACTTTAGGGTCAGTAATTGCCCATTAGTGTGGTTGAAGCTTTATTTTAATCTCAGAGCAATGAGGAGAGGAAGTGGGCATTGGTCCAGAACCATACATTTGTTATGTTTTGGCTTTGTTTCCTTCTGGGAATGTTTCTGCATTCAGAGATGTAGCTTCCAAATTGGTAACATCCTGTTTATGTATGTTATGTATTTTCCGACTCAGTTGCAAAGCAAATGCAGCCCTCTTTTATGAATTTCTGCCAGGCTGGCAAAGCACAGGACAATTTGTCCCCACAGCCTCCCTTAGCAATAGCACATATGTGTGTGAGAGGCTCTCTCTTCTCTCTCTAGATCAGAGGGGCTTGATTTCTATGGCCACAGCTGCCTGCGTTGTATTAATTCACAGGAAGGTGGGGGTGGGGTAACAAAGATCATACTTCCCCCTCTTTCTCTCTCTCTACCTCCATTTTCAGATTAAAAAATCAGTTCCTTATTTCTGATACTCCAAGGTGTTCTTCATGTTCTTCTGATTCAAGCCAGTTCAGTCTAGTGGTTGAAGGCACTACGCTAAAAACCAGGAGAATATGAGTTGTATTGCTGCCTTAGGCATAAAAGCTGGCGGGTGACTTTGGTCCAGTTACATTCTCTCAGCCCAACTCACCTCGCTGGGCTAGTGTTGTGGGGAAAATAGGAAGGAGTATTAGGTATGTTTGCCATTATTTAGGAAGGCAGGATATAAATAAATACAATGAATAAATAAGCTACTTCCCATGATGGCTTTTTCATTAACACCTACTTTGGTCTCTGACTTTAAGCCCTGATTTTCTATGATATTTCAGTTTCATTTGACAGTAACCCCCAACATAGGCGGGTATAAATCGTTGGGTATAAACAGTGAGATGGGTCATATATAAATTAATATATGAAGGAAAATTCCATGCTCTTGACTCTCTCTTCTAATTCACCATTACTTTCCTGTTGAACTAACATCACTTCTCTGGGTCTCAAAGAGTATGGGACTTGATTTTCTGGATACAGTATGAAATACTCAATTTGGTATAGTCGTACTATTGGGTTTTTTTTAATGCACAAATGCTTACTGATACAAATGTGATGTCATTCTCTGCAGGTGAGAACGAAGTGCTAAAGTTTACTAAGATAAAAACATCCAGTGACAAAATTGTACTGAAATGGGAGCCATACTGGCCACTGGACTTCCGTGACCTTTTGGGCTTCATGGTGTTCTATAAGGAAGCGTGAGTAAACAATCCCTGTTAAAATTAGGTTCCCAGATATCGACGCCTACATTGTGCAGTGCCAGAAGAGTTAAGGCTGAGAAAGGTTAATGGTCATATAGACAGCAATCTAGAAAGTAGCAGAGTTGCCTCCAGCTTTCTTTCTTTCATTGAATATTTTTAAATTATTTCATAAAGTGACTAAATTAGTAGAAATGCTGTGGACATAGTATACTTAGATTTCAGTAAGGTATTTGACAAAGTAGACCACAACCTGGCTAGAAAAAGGTGGGATAGACAACATCACCACTAGATAGATTTGTAGTTGGCTGACAAAACATACTCAACGAATAGTCCTCAATGGCACTACATCCACATGAAGTGAAGTAATCAGTGGGGTACCATAAAGCTCTGTCTTAGGCCCAGTACTCTTCAATATCTTTATAAGTGACTAAGATGAGGGAATAGATGGGGAACTCATCAAATTTGCAGATGACACTAAACTGGGAGGAACGGTCAACATCCCAGAAGACAAGTTCAGGACCCAAAAAGATCTTGACAAACTTGAACAATGGGACCTGTCCAGCAAAATGAGTTTCAATGTGGAGAAAAGCAAAATTTTACATTTAGGCAGGAAAAATCAAAGATATAAGTACAGATTAGGCAAGACCTGGCTCAAAAACAGTAACTGTAAGAGGGACCTTGGAGTCCTAGTGGGTGATCACTTGAATATGAGCCAGCAGTGTGCAGCAGCAGTCAAAAAAGCTAATACAATCCTGGGTTATATAAACAAGATCACGCAAAGTATTAGTACCACTTTATAAAACCCTAGTAAGACCACAGCTGGGTCATACTACAAAAAAGATGTTGAGACTTCGGAAAAAGTTCAGAGAAAAGCAACTAAAATGATCAAAAGCCTGGAGACTAAAACATATGAAGAACGGTTGCAGGACTTGGGTTTGGCTAGTCTAAAGAAAAGAAGAAACAGGGGCGACATGATAACAGTATTCCAATATTTGAGGCGCTGCCACAAAGAAGAGGGGGGTCAAACTATTCTCCAAAGCATCAGAAGGCAGGACAAGAAACAATGGTTAGAAACTGACCAAAGAGAGAAGCAACCTGGAATTAAGGAGAAACTTCCTAACAGTGAGGACAATTAACCAGTGGAACAGCTTGCCCTCAGAAATCGTGGGCACTCCATCACTGGAGATTTTTAAGAAGAGACTAGATAGTCACTTGTCTGAAATCATATAGGTCCATGGTGGCGAACCTATGGCACGCGTGCTACAGGTGGCACGTAGAGCCCTCTCTGTGGGCAAGTGCACCGTCGCCCTAGGCCTAGCCTTCAGCTGGGTTTCATAAAACCTTTTCACTTTAGGCCTCCGCTGCCGTGTGCAAAAAAAAAAAAAAGGTTCAATCAATCGATCAATTTCAACTTCTCGCGGGGAAAAAAAAAAGATCTCGCAAAGTTGGAATTGATTGATTGAACTTTTTAGTCCCACCGGTCTGCTGTTATGACTGCAACCATGCCCACCCAATGGGCCATGCTCACCCAATGGGCCACGCCCACCCAATGGGCCACGCCCACCCAGCACCCAACAATACATAAGTAGGTTTTGGGTTGCTGTTTGGGCACTCAGTCTCTAAAAGGTTCGCCGTCACTGATATAGGTTCTCCTGCTTGAGCAGAAGGTTGGATTAAAAGACCTCCAAGGTCCTTCCAGCTCTATTCTAGTCTATTCCAAATTACTACTATTATGCTTAACTTTAAAAATGCTTCACATTAAAAGAAATAAATAACAACAGCTCTGTCAAAACATCAATTATGTTCAGTAGACAAAAAACTTTATGGCCTTTGCTTGTGTTTATAACCTAGTGGAAGCTATCAAGTTACCAGAGGGAATAGCTTCATATAGTATTGATGCACTTCCCTTTGAGTGCTTGGCTTTACCACTGCACTACACCAAAATTGCCATTGTTTGTTTGCTTGGGCTATTTGACCATTTTAGGCTGATATGATTCTCTACACACCTAGCACTCACTATCATTCACCAGTCTGGTTATAGAGAAGAGTTCTTTCTGCTCTCCATAATTTTGAATTTGTATCCATTGTCCCCATTCTAAATGAATAGCATATTTCTTCCTATGTGTATGTATTGCTTTTCTGAAACAGCAGCTAGTGTCCTTTCCCTTCCTTTTTGGGCTAGTCCCTTCCGGAACGTGACGGAATTCGATGGCCAGGATGTTTGTAGCTCCAACAGCTGGACAGTGGTGGATATTGATCCTCCTTCCCGGTCTGATGCCAAAATCAAAGAACCTGGGTATCTGATGCGGGGCCTGAAAGCCTGGACTCAATATGCCATTTTTGTGAAGACACTGGTCACTCATACAGATGAGCAGAAAATCTATGGGGCAAAGAGCGAGATCATATACATTCGAACTAACGCTTCTGGTGAGCAGTATGATGGTCTTGCAATGTTCAGGAACTGCCAGTCAAAACAGTTCTTGGGGGAGGATTGTTATAATTGATTCCCTAAGTTAATAATTATATACTATGTAATTATTTTAATATATTGCTGCAGAGTTCGTTGGAAAAGACTTGTAAGTCATTTAGTGTGACCTCTTTCATAGCAGAAGTCCAGCAATCATCTCCCCCTAACTGGCCTCAGCTCCTATTTGAAAATCTTTTTTCAATTCTTAACACCAGGAAATTCCTCATAATATTCATCTAAATCTCCTTTCTTTTTTAATTCAGTTTCATTGGTCCTTGCCCCACTCTTTCTTTTGGCAAAAATAGGCCCACTGCTGTATGTGGCATCCGTTCAGATATTTATAGATTTCTATTTATAATTATAATAATTTATAATTGACCATTGTAATATCTCCCCTAAATTTTCTCTTGCAAGCCAAACATGCCCAGATCCTTTAACTGTTCCTTATGGGGCTTAGTTTCCAGACCCCTTGTCATCTCAGTTCTCCTCTGAATCTGCTTGGCTTCTCCGTGTGCCATTTAAAGTTTATTATCCAGAAGCGGACATAACATTCCAAATGTGATCAAACTAGCCCAGAATAAAATAGAGACAATCAAACAGCCAAAAAGGAAACGAAAACACCAAAAACACCTCCTCACCAGCAATCAGCATTCAGATGAGCAGAGATTAACATTAAACCAACAATCAAGTAGTAAGCAACACTTGAATCTCCCCAACTACTAACTCAGACAAACAAGCTAACAGTAAACAACAGCCCAATCAAGGAACCATGAAGACCACTCCCACTAACACTGACAGGGCAAGTAACTAGTACAGGGGTAGGCAACCTTGGCTCTTTTATGATTCGTGGACTTCAACTCCCAGAATTTCTGAGCCAGCCATAAAAGAGCCAAGGTTGCCTACCCCTGAACTATTATATAAAATGAGAGCAAACCCCATTCCCTAACAGCACTGATAATATTACCTGGTTTGTAATAAAACATCTGCAAGAAAACAACCAAGCTCGGAGAGTACCCAAGGGCCCACAGCTGAATTATGAGCTACAAATATTCTCTTCTATTGAGACCTTCATTGTATGACTTGATAAGGTTTTTGTTCACCTTTGTTCCTATTTTTTTGATAGTTATATATATATATATTTCCTCTTCTCCCCAGTGCCAAGTGTCCCCCAGGATCCAATTTCTGTTTCCAACTCTTCATCACAGATCATTTTGAAGTGGAAACCACCTTCTTATCCCAATGGGAATATTACACATTATATGGTATCCTGGGAACAACAAAGTGAAGACAATGAACTCTATGAACTGGATTATTGTCTGAAGGGTAAGGCAGGCTAGCTGTGTCCCTGTTTCCAGATTTAAATTTCTGATATTTTCAGAGCCAGTAGGTTGGTTTGCTTATTTAGTCCATTGTAATTCTGTACCCCATGTGGGATTGCCTTTAAAAACCATCTAGTACAGTGATGGCAAACCTTTTAGAGACGGAGTGGCCAAAAACTGGCTTCGCCCCTGCCCCACCCCCTGCCCCACCCCTGCTCTGCTCCCCCATCCCCGCCTGCCCGCAGAGCCACTCACCGCCTTCAGAGCCCACCACAGATTGCCCAGGCAGCCCAGCAGTGCTATCGCAGTCACGCCCTCTGCCCGCGCCCTGCAGCATCAGCTGTGCACAATGGGGTGTGAGGGCAGAGTCTTGTCTATGCTGTCTGGCTGTGCTGCTCCATGTGGGCCATGCTCAGAGGCAACTCTCCTTCAGGGGGTCTGCTGGAGAGGAGGGGGTCGCGGAGGGAGGTGAGGCTGGGGCAACAGCATGTGTGCCCACAAAGAAGGCTCCGAGTGCCGCCTCTGGCACCCGTGCCATAGGTTTGCCACCACTAATCTAGTAGTTTTAATTGATAGAGAATGTAGCAGCCCAGATGTTCACCTGCAGTTATTATGTGGACCCTGTGACACCTATATTGTATCCCTGCATTAATTCCTGGTGAAACTTCAGATGCAATTTGAAGTTCTGGTGTTAACCTATAAAGATCTTTATGGCTTGGCATTAGGCTACTACCTACAAGACTGTATCTTCTTATAGAATTGTGCCCAACCCTATGATTATGCCAGGAGCATCAGCAGATAGTTCCCCATTTTCATTAAGTCAGGAAAGTGTTATTCAGGGGAAAAAATGTTACTTTTGGGTGGCACCAGCTGTTTAAGTTGTTTTTTTTTTTTTTTGCTTAAGATCAGATTTCTCTTGGCCATCTTTCAGAGGATGTTGACAACTGAGCTGTGCCAACAGGCATTTGGATTACAACACCTCTTTGTGGATATTGTTTTTGTGGGGTTTAGTTATGCTTGTACTTTTGGTTAATTGTATCTGTAAGCACCAAGAGTTTCTGGATTACAATGGGGTAAAAATCTAATAAACTAACTCTGGCTACATTAATTTAATATAGTAAACCAAACCAATCACTTTATGGCTTAGCACATGTGAATACCCAACTATTATCTGATGTTTCCCCCCAAAAATTATTGTATTCAGACATATACATCTTCCTTGTGTTTCCATAAAGCCTTCTATCTCAAACCTGGGGTTTTCCATATACAGTTATGGCTATAAACACACAATCAACAACCAATACCTATTTTTGGCTATGTAGCGCTGTCGATTTAACCCAAATTAAGCTTCCTTGATTAACCTGGAAGGGAGTGATTCGAGCAACCCTATGCTAACAGCAATTCGCTAAAAATAACTGGTGTCTTCTACACATAACTGGTGTCTTCTACACATGCTGTGCCAATGTTCTCATAATCTCCTAACCAAGAGGGTCAATAGATTATGTAACAGGCTGCCTAACCTTTTGATTTGAAGTAAGAAAAGTGTCAAGGAGCATGCAGAAACAACTAATACCTATCTGCAAATCCTTAAACCAAGCATATATTTTTCTGGGATTATACAACTTCTGAGGGCATCTACATGATCCTGGGAGAAGGAGTAGCTGTTTTAACAAGTTGTAGTCAGGTACTACATTCAGTCCACAAACATATTCAATTAAAGAGTACCTTGCTTGAGTTGCAGCTTCTTTCCAGTATGAATTGTCATTACTTATTCAAAAACAGGATGACCTTGAAGCTGTAGTTCTTTTACTGAGCAATTAATCTTTTAGGATCGTGAAACATAAAAGCTTTACTGTCCATCTGTCCTGCAGGCTTGAAGTTACCCTCTTGGACATGGTCTCCCCCTCTAGTAGAAGACCACATCAAGCACAATGGGACTGAGGATGAAAAAAAAAGTGAAATTTGTTGTACCTGCCCTAAAACAGATTCTCAGATCCAGAAGGAGTTGGAAGAATCTGCCTTCCGGAAGACTTTTGAGAATTACCTCCACAATGAAGTCTTTGTTCAGAGGTAAGTCACTGAGTGTGGCTTTCATAATAATAATAATAATAACAACAACAACAACAACATCCTGCGACGATACCTGTAATACCATCAAACATCCACATCTGCCTATCCCAGGTCCTGGGTAAGGACTTGATAGGTAGACAAAATGCCAAATCCAGTCTGAACATCTGGCTGACTGTGCGATGATCCATCATCATCATCATCATCATCATTATTATTATTATTATTATTATTATTATTATTATTATTATTATTATTATTATTATTATTATTATAGTTGGAAGGGACCTAGGAGGTCATCGAGTCCAACCCCCTGCTCAGGCAGGAAACCATATACCATTTCGGACAAATGGCTGTCCAGTCTCTTCTTAAAAACTTCCAGTGTTGGAGCATCACCTGCTTCTGGAGGCAGGTTGTTCCATTGGTTAATTATTCTAACTGTCAGGAAGTTTCTCCTTAGTTCTAGGTTGCTTCTCTCCTTGATTAGTTTCCATCCGTTGCTTCTTGTCCTGCCTTCAGGCGCCTTGGAGAATAGCTTTACTCCCTCTTCTTTGTGGCAGCCCCTGAAATATTGGAACACTGCTATCATGTCCCCCCTCGTCCTTCTCTTCATTAAACTAGACATACCCAATTCCAGCAACCGTTCCTTATATGTTTTAGCCTCCAGTCCCCTAATCATCTTTGTTGCTCTTCTCTGTACTCTTTCTAGAGTCTCAACATCTTTTCTACATCGTGGTGACCAAAACTGGATGCAGTATTCCAAGTGTGGCCTTACCAAGGCATTGTAGAGTGGTATTAATACTTCATGTGATCTTGATTCTATCCCTCTGTTAATGCAGCCTAGCACTGTGTTGGCCTTTTTGGCAGCTGCAGCACACTGCTGGCTCATATTTAGGTGATTGTCCACTAGGACTCCGAGGTCCCTCTCACAGTTACTGCTATTGAGCAAGGTACCCCCTATACTATACCTGTACATTTGAGTTTTCTTGCCTAAATGTAGAACCTTACTTTTTTCACCATTGAATTTCATTTTGTTAGATAGCGCCCAGTGTTCTAGTCTGTCCAGGTCCTCCTGTAGCCTGTCTTCTGGAGTGTTGGCTATTCCTGCCAGCTTGGTGTCATCTGCAAATTTGATGAGTTCCCCATCTATCTTCTCATCCAAATCATTGATGAAGATGTTGAAGAGCACTGTGCCTAGAACAGAGCCCTGGGGCACCCCACTACACACATCCCTACATGTAGATGCAGTTCCATTGAGGACCACATGCTGAGTATGGCCGGTCAGCCAGCTACAAATCCATCTGGTGGTGATGCTGTCTAACCCACATTTTTCTATCTTATCGAGTGGTAGGTTGTGATCTGAGGACAGACTTCCTTTTTTGCTGTCAAGTAGGAGATGGAAGTATATTAGAGCAGGGGGTCCACGGCTCAGTACCGTGCCGTGGTCCGTTGGGAACTGGGCCGTGCAAGCAGCGGACAAACACACGAGCATGTGAAGCTCCATTTCTGCAAGTGGCAGGCACATGCAAAACCATCCCCTCTCTCCCCCTCCCCCTGCTGCCACCGCCGCTGCTGCTGTTACTGCCAGTCCACAGAGCTATAACATCAGACCTAAATTAGTTCTCTTACAAACTGAAAGTATATTTGACATGTCCAGATTAATCCTGGACTCTATAGCCAATATGAAGATCACCACACCCACAATATTTAAGGATCCCCACAACTCTTGTTAAATGGCATTAAAGGAGAAGATGAAGCCCAATAATAACCCGTTCACAAAAGCTATGAAACAAATCTACAATTTTTTAGGAGGACCAGCTGGTGTCAAAACCCACTGAACTAGCAAGGACATTTCCCATTAATTTTTCTGCCTTAAAGGACAATGCAGATTACATCTGATTTTAAATATAGCAAGAATGAAACTTACTTTAGGGTAGCAATTGTTTTTAAATTCACTGTATCACAGAATATTTAGTCAGGCTTTGGTGGGATAGTTTTAGAAAGAGGGCACATTTACATCTGGATTGCTTATTTTTTTGGAAAAGGTTAAGATGTTATTGTTGCTGTTACTGTGTTATTACACATTTACCAAGAAACAGCATCAAAAACTCCCACAGTAATTACAATTATTATAACTCAATGCAATGAAGTTTGCTCAGAGCCTAATAAAAATATTTTCAACAGAACAGTGCATTTAAAACAGAGTTCTGAGATAGACTGGATGTATATACAGCTGCAATCCGATGCTTACCTGGAAGTATTCACTAAAAAAGACTCAAACAGCGAGACACTTCACAAACCTACTAATCAAATAAAGGGCTTATAATCTTAAAGGCTGTCAAATTTCCACAGAAGCAAAAGGAGAAGGGAGCCAAGTTCTTCAAGGTCTGAAACCTGGAGACTACAACTGTGAAACAAGAACTTGAAAAAAGATCCTGCTGAAGTGATCATAAGTTTGTATTTTAAAGCTCTGGTCTCTGGCTCAGAGAAGAGCCAAAACATAGACCAGAAACCCCGCTCCCCCATCTTTTGGGCACCAGGGACCGGTTCCGTCGAGAGAGGTTTTTCCGTGGACTGGAGAGGGTTTCGCATACTACCCGCACCCCAAGGATGGGGTTTAGTTGTTTGCACGGCCCGGTTTTTGGCATGCCGCAGACTGAGGCCAATCCACAGACTAGGGGTTGGGGACCCCTGACATAGACATAGACCATGGGTAGGCAACCTTTGCTAGCTGGCTCAGGAATTCTGGTAGTTGAAATGCATGAGTCATAAAAGAGCCAAGGTTACCTACCCCTGACATAGACCAACCTGAATGGCCCTGGTATTATAATTTAAGAGAATTTTTTTATAAAGTGATGTATCATGGGTACATGACACCTTAGAAATGATCAAAAATGTACAAAGATAGTTTAAGTCACTGTTGGAAATGTGTAAAACACAGAGGGATATTTTGCCCTTTACCAACTTGTAAAAAAGCCAAGAAATTTTGGATACAAATACATACAATGATACAAAGAATCTTAAAGATTAATATGCCAAAAGAAAAACCACCTTTTTATTGGGAGTTAAGTATGCTGAACTGGAAAAGACTCAGGGAAGATTTAGTTTTGTAAATGATAACAGCAGCAAGATTATTATGTGCACAGAGGTGGAATTCCCACAATGGAGGAATGGATCATAAAAATGTCAGAACTAGAGGAAATGGCAAATCTGATCAGGGAGAAAACAAGTGCTTTTTTTTATAGGCTGGAAAGTTTTTGTAAACATCTTCCTAAAAGAAGAAAAAAAATGATGATTTACTGTTTAAAAGATTGAAACAGATGAGAATTAAATAAGGGGTTGAAGGGATTTATGGAACAGAGAAGGGAAATTATAGGTTTGTTAATATTTATTGAAGAGAAGAGAAAGTTGGAAGTTATTACATTTCATAATTTTATTTTTTCCTTTCTCTTTTTTCTTTTCCTGCATTTCTTTTTTTTTTTTTAGATTTGCTTTTTTACTTCATGTAAAATCCTTAATACATATAAATAAATAAAGGAGCAACCTAAATGGTACTGTTCTGGACTAAGATCCAGTAATAGAGACAAAAATTGTTAACAACTGCCAAAGAATCTGTTACAATACTCTTTAAGTGGGACGACTAAGGACATAGCAATAACACTGCTCTAAAAGAGCCCCTGTATCCTATAAATATTCAACAAGTGAACATTAGCAATCTGCCTGTAGAATAAATACATTAGTGCAGTCAGAAGACAGTGGGCAGAGGAGACAATTAAGAGGGAAGACTTAATAGAGAAAGAGAAGGATGATCAGACTGAAACATGACAATCTTAGCCTTTTCCATGTTCTACTTGAGATACTAGATGGACATCCAAGAGAGAAATGCCTGTAAGATAGTCTGTTACAGTTGAATGTGCATTGTCACCAAGTTCTACAAAAGACCAATAAATTGAATATTAGCATAATAATGATACTGGAAACCTTGATTATGGATCAGGACACCCAAAGAATGAGTAGAGACAGTAAAATAGTACTCAAGATTGATTCATGAAAGGCATTCCCTGTAAGAGGAAATTCCTAAGACTTAAATCTCTAGTGCAATATTGCAAAACAACAAGACAAAAAAGATGCAAAACAATCAGGTGCACCACCAATAATGCCAAAGACTGTAACCCTGTATAACCTAAACAACAGTATCACATGGTCAAGTATATCAGATGCTGCCATCAGATTCGAAAGGATTGACATTGATGCAAGATGCTAGGAAGTTGCCAGAAAAGTGTTGTTCAAAATTCAAGAAAATGCCATCTCAGTTGAATGGAAAACTACCAGTAGTTAATGAACAGTTCACTTGGAATGTGACACAAGACAGGAAAATGGGTTAGAAGAGTAGCATAAAGGAATCCCTCCATGATTTAGTCTCCAAGACTGGGATACATTCAAAAGCGAGAGAAAAAATAAAGGGGTTGTGGGAGAAGGACTAACAAGAGGAAAAGAAAGAGCAACATTCACCACTTTATCAGGGAAAAATTCTCCCAGATCCTCAGGGAAAGGTTGTACCTCCCAGCACAGAAAGCTGTCATATCACGAGTCAGATCTTTGAACTATGTAGTCCAGCATTGCTGACGTTGACTGGTATTGCTGACGTTGACTGGTAACCATATTAAGTGAATCAGTGTTTTCAACAAAGAGCAGCCATTTGATATGGAAGATTTATAGCAATCTCTTTGCATTATTTGTATGTCAGGAAAGAACATAACAGGATCCATAAATATATCATCATACGTATAACATACCCATGGTCTATATTAATAGAATTCTATACAGTAGAATAAAAGAAAATATACTCAAGTATATTCAACAAGTATGTCTTGGGAGATCCTTAATCTAAGAAGATCCTCTGTTTTAATAAATTGAAATCCTCTATAATTTATCTCCAAAAGCCAGAACAGGGAATTTGAGATGTTTTTTGTCACTAGGAAAAAGATTGGAAATAAATTACCATCATGGTACCCTGAATATAAATATTCAGGGAGTTTATATATTCATCTAAAGCATCTGACGAATAGGGCATGGGTTTGGATAAATTACCTTGCTTGCATCTCTGAATTAAAGAGATTAACAACAGTGTGTTGATTTGCAAAGTAGATGTTGGGGAATTGCCAGCTAGACTGGAGGAAGAGGTCAAGAAAGGACTTAACTTATAATTGTTGCACAGCCACAAACCACATAAGGATGACCTCTCTCAAAATCTATGCAGCCTTATCTGGTTATTCCCAGGGGAAGGCAAGCATTCTGGTAAGATTCTTGTAACATAGAAGAAGAAACAAAGTTACAGCCTGAGGCTATTTTACAAGTGGTTCTGCTTGATTGTGCCTGACAGTGGTTTCTGGATTAGACACCAACCTTATCTAGAATCGCATGAGCAAGTTTGGGGTAAAACTAGGCTTTTGGTTGTGCTTACAGTATGTTGGCCATAAACTAACCAGGGGTGTGAGTACATTAAGGCTGGTTAGCTTGGTATACATTTTCTCTACCTTATTAAAAACCATTATATAAAAATCTTGGTTGAGCTAAGTCATGAAGAAACTTTGAAGTCAATAGCCGTGGATCCCTTTAGGGATGATCATGGCATATAGAAGATTGCAAATTGCAATGTAAGAATAAACGGTAAAAAGCATAAGTTAACAATAAAAATAAAAGAAACAAAAATGTTATGTTTCTATAATACTAATAGAAAGGGAAAGAATATATTGTAGTCAGTCTGATTAAGAATTGGTGTAATCTTGTCAAGCATGGTTAATTAATATTTACTTGTTTATTTATTGAGTATATCACATTTATATCCCACCACAATTATACACAGTCTTTTAGTAGCTTGCAACTTGAAAGAAAAATAATGTGGTGTGGCTTTATGCCAGTCAGGAGGAGTACAACACAGATCTTTGCTTGTTAGTAGATCATTCAGGAATGTATGAATGTTTAACACACAATAAAACGTCAGTTTGTTGCTTTAGAGAAGTGTATAACAAATAAAGTGGAATTAAGAAATACTTTGTGCAATTTGTTGAACGATAAGAGTGGTGTATGTTGGAAATCCAGTACGCATGGAAACAAATAGAATGCTTCATGCACAGTTCAACACTGAGCTTGAAATAAGATGAGGGTTCTTCAATATAATGACGGCATATAAGGAATGCATGTGATGATGGTAGTGTACTTTATATGCAGGTGATGTGCTCTGTAGTTGGCTTAGCTCAAAAGCTTTATGGTGAATATTAGACAGGTTGTAAAATGCAACAAGGAGCATGAATCTGAAAAATAATGTATCAAAGATCAAGGTGTTTGACGGGAAATATGCATTGAATAATTGCACATTATTCGTAAAAGGCCCAAAACTGGAGCACGCAGGTCACTTTGTATGCCTTGATACTACTTGCTAAACATGAGGAATTGGATAAAAAAGCTAGGAAGATGTGCAAATACTGGTAGAAAAATAATTCATAATGTGTGGTTTATTGTGAAACATGAATGTTGAAAGAAGCAAAAATGATCCTGTCTAAAAATGGCTTTCCGCTTATTTGTTATATGGAAGTGAAAGCTGTGTCAGAAAACACCAAAACAGCTTTGGTATACGGGCAATCCTCGACTTAAAACAGTTTATTTAGCGACCATTCAAAGTTACACCAGCACTGAAAAAGTGACCTATGACTGTTTTTCCCACTATATGACTATTGTAGCATCCTCATAGTCACACGATCAAAATTGAGATGCTGAGCAACTGACTCACATTTATGAGGGTTGCAGTGTCCCAGGGTCATGCAATGACCTTTTGCGACAAGCAAAGTGAATGGGGAAGCCAAGTTCACTTAATGACTCTGTTACTATCTTAAGAATTGCACAACTGTGGCAAGAAAAGTCATCAAATGGGGCAAAACACACTTAATTACTGTCTTGCTTAGCGACAGAATTTTTTTGCTCAGTTGTGATTGTAAATCGAGGACTACCTGTAATAGGAATCTTTTAAGGAGAATGCATGCTGAAACAGGATGAGAGAGGTCAAGAAGGAACGGGTGCTGAAAGAATGTGGGCTGAGAACAGAAATGAGTATTAGTGAAGAGCATTCAGCTGATTTGGTCATGAATGACCATTAAATCGCAAAACAAATATTTACAGGAAGTGCGAAAAGGTGCAAAGGAAAATAAAACCTGAGAAAGGATATAGTTAGGCAGAGTTGGTAAGGTCCTCTGAAATACAAAATTGAGAAAGTGTAAAGAATACAAGGCAGTGTAGGTATGACTATGGTAGAAACATGGATTATTTGTAAGATAGAAAGTATGGTAAGATACACTGAATAATGTTAACAGAAACTAGATTTAGCTACAGTATATGTTTTCCTATCTCATGCCTTTGGGTTATATGACTACTATTTCTGACTCTTTCTGCCCTTTGCATAACATAGTTTACCCCAAAAGGGAATAGCACACAAGATACACACATGTGTAGCACTAGCAATAGCACTTAGACTTATATACTGATTCATACTGCTTTTGCAGCCTCTCTAAGTGGCTTACAGAACCAGCATATTGTCCCCAACCCTCTGGATCCTCATTTTACCAACCTCAAAAGGATGGAAGGCTGAGTCAACCTTGAGCCCTTCAGGATCGAACTCCTGGCAGTGAGCAATGAGTTAGCCTGCAACACTGCATTCTAACCACTGCGTCACTACGGCTCTATAGAGAATTGAATGTAGAGAATTGAATGCAACTTTTTGCAAATAATGATGATGATGATGATGATGATGATGATGGAAGGGACCTTGGAGTCTTCTGGTCCAACCCCCTGCTCAGGCAGGAAACCCTATACCATTTCAGACAAATGGCCGTCCAGTCTCTTCTTTAAAACTTCCAGTGTTGCAGCATTCACCACTTCTGGAGGCAGGTTCTTTCACTGGTTAATTGTTCTAACTGTCAGGAAGTTTCTCTTTAGTTCTAGGTTGCTTCTCTCCTTGATTAGTTTCCATCCGTTGCTTCTTGTCCTGCCTTCAGGTGCCTTGGAAAATAGCTTGACTTCCTCTTCTTTGGGGCAGCCCTTGAGATACTGGAACACTGCTATCATGTCCCCCCTTGTCCTTCTCTTCATTAAACTAGATATATTCAATTCCATCAACCTTTCCGTATATGCTTTAGCCTCCAGTCCCCTAATCATCTTTGTTGCTCTTCTCTGTACTCTTTCTAGAGTCTCAACATCTCAACATTGTGGTGACCAAAACTGGATGCAGTATTCCAAGTGTGGCCTTACCAAGGCATTGTAAAGTCAATAATAATAATAATAACAACAACAACAATAAAGTTGGAAGGGACCTTGGGGGTCATCTAGTCCAACTCCCTGCTCAGGCAGGAAACCCTATACTATTTCGGACAAATGACTGTCCAGTCTCTTCTTAAAAACTTCCAGTGTTGGAGCATTCACCGCTTCTGGAGGCAGGTTGTTCCACTGGTTAATTGCTCTAACGGTTAGGAAGTTTCTCCTTAGTTCTAGGTTGCTTCTCTCCTTGAATAGTTTCCACCCTTTGCTTCTTGTCCTGCCTTCAGGCGCCTTAGAAAATAAAGTGGTATTAATACTTCACGTGATCTTGATTCTATCCCTCTGTTAATGCAGAGAAGTTGCTCAAAGTCATCTTTCCATCTATCTGTCTCCATCATTGCTCCAAGAATACAAAGAATTAATATGAAACTTATTTCTGTGAAGACAAAACTCAACAGCCCTGGTAAAAAAGAGGCTTTCCAATCTTGTGATTCCAGGATGCAAGTGTATTACTTCAGTAGAACGTGCATTTAGGCACTGGGTCTGCTTATATCACTTAGCTGTCTTCTGCCACCCATTGTCTAGATTAGTGGCCCCAACCTTTTGGACATCAGGGACCGGTTCCATGGAGAAAGGTTTTTCTGCGGACTGGAAGGGGCATGGTTTTGTGTGCTGCCTGCTTCTCACCGATGGGGCTTTGCTTGTTTGCACGGACCAGTTTCTGACATGCGGCGACCCGGTGAAGGTCCATGGACCGGGGGTTGGGGACCTCTGGTCTAGATCATTATCTGCTGTCTCTTTCTGTTAGTAGTGGCTCTCTAAAGAAACAGAGAAATGCCTTTCTCAGCTAAGTTACCCTTTTAGCTGGAGATACTAAGATTTAACCCTGGGATATTCTGAACAAAGATCCTGCCGTGTATTATTGAACTACTTTTTCCATTACCTTTTCAAATGTGATACATCTATAGGCCAGCGGAAGGATCAAGGAGGCGGCGAGATCTTGGGAGAGTTGCTAATAGCACCATGGTGGCTCCAACCACGCTGGGCTTGCTAAACATGTCTACGACAACACCAGAGGAACCGAAGCCTTTTCAGATGATGGTTTTCAAGGAGTCAGTAGTCATATCCAACTTGCAACACTTCACAGGGTACCGGATTGAGATCCAAGCCTGTAATCGTGAAGCTCTAACAGTATGCAGCGTTGCAGCCTACATCAGTGCCAGGACCATGCCAGAAGGTGAGAAAAGCATTTCCCAGCTGGGTCCTATCTAATCAGCATGTTTACAAGACAAAGCATGAAGCAGACTTGCTAATTTGCACTGATTGGCTTTTTGTCCCTTCTGTTCTTTTATCTGTTAGTGAAAGCAGATGACATTGTTGGGCCTGTGACTCATGTGTTAATAGAGAAAAATGTAGTCCACTTAAAGTGGCAGGAGCCGAAGGAGCCAAATGGGCTGATCATCCTCTATGAAGTAAATTATGGACGCCTTGGAGAATCAGAGGTGAACTTTCAGCCCTTTACACTTCTTTCCTTGGGTGCTGTCTGCTTTTTCCCCAGGCTTTTTTGTATAACATTTTAGGAATAAGGGGAATTGGATTCTAATAGTCTTTTCCTAGTAAAATGACTCTCTTTCTCTATGTATAAGAGAGACAGAGCATACACGCTCATCTCTTAGCTCTAATTGTACCTGACTCCAGACCTGAGAAATTAGAAATCTGTTGTGAGATGAGTTGTATTGCACATCAATACTTATTCATCCTGGATTACACAACTGCCCACAGTTTTTTGTTTGTTTGTTTGTTTGTTTGGGTGCACAGAACACATTTCACACATGTAGCTCTTCCTTAGGTCATGTGGCACCTCTTTTGGGCAACAGAACACCCAATTATCTCTCTTCTACCCTTTAGGAACAACGCTTTTGTGTATCTCGTCGAGAGTTTTCCACTGAACAGGGCTGCAAGCTGAGAAGGCTGCAACCTGGCAACTATAGTGTGCGCATCCGAGCTACTTCATTGGCTGGAAATGGGTCATGGACAGAGCCCGTCTACTTTTACATTTCTGATTATTGTAAGATAAATATTTCTTGGCATTCTGAGTTTCTAATTGCTTGTTGGGTGGGCGAGATATCTAGTGTGTTGTGCGTTCTCATCTCCTATCCTGTGAGAGGAACGATTAGCTCTGACATCAGGCTAATCTTCAGAAATAGTTGTTCTGGATGTTATGAAACACGGACTGGGAGGAAAGTCCAAAATCCTGTCTTACATTTACTGTATACTTACCTTTTCTTTTTTCACTCTAGTGAATGCTCCCACCAGTCTTGTAGCCATCATCGTTCCAACCATTTTTATTGTCTTTTTATTCATGTTTATTGGAGGAGGTTATGTCTTTATCAAAAAAAGGTAAGTGTGTATCAGCTTTCTTTTCAAAATATAGCTCTTTAACAATGCATTGAGATACAATCAATTGACGATCTATAACAGACATAGTTAAATTTAATTTGTACTCCGTTGCTGCTGACAGAAAAACATATATGTGTGAATAGCTTCTTTTCTCTCATCAGTAATAATTTTGTTAGTATGTTTCTTGTTTTTTAAACATATGGTCATACGTTCCTCTTTACTAGTATGTAGAAAACTCTTATGTCCCTTCCAGTGTTGGATCTATGATTCCAAACTATTAAATTCCATTTGGATTTTTAAAATTATCAGTCTATGAATTTTGCAGTTTGCAATAGTGGCAAATATCTGTCACTCAGGTGTAAGATGAAAGTGAAGATTTGTTCTCCGAACTTGTGGGTTGGTTTCCGAATGTTTTGTTACTGGGCTAGGTAACATCTTCAGCCAAGTTTAAGGGATGTCAGTGTCGCTGTTCTTCTGTTTATAACGGCTTCAGGTATAGGGGTGTGTGTGTGTGTGTGTGTGTGTGTGTGTGTGTGTGTGTGTGTGTGAAGCCCTTATAAACAGAAGAACAGCGACACTGACATCCCCTAAACTCGGCTGAAGATGTTACCTAGCCCAGGGCTTTTCAACCTTTTCACCCATTGTACCACTTTTAGGATATGGCAACATCCAAGTACCACCAGTTGCCTAGCAAGGTGTCAGAGACTTGATGACCAAAAAAAAAGGAAAAAAGGAAAAAAGTGATAAAGTGCAGGTAGTCCTCGACTTACAACAGTTTGCTTAGTGACTGTTCAGAGTTACAATAGCACTGAAAAAAGTGCCCCCCAGGCCACAGCTGAGCAAGACGCCTGCCCGCTACCACTTTTCTAGGATGCTCGCGTACCACCTGCCATGTGCCAATGTACCACAGGTGGTACCCGTACCACTGGTTGAAAAGCCCTGACCTAGCCCAGTAACAAAACATTTGGAAACCAACCCACAAGTTCAGAGAATGAATCTTTACCCTCACTTTGGAACTTTTCCTATGACTGGCATGGTAGCCTTCTGTTTTAAATATAATTATAATTATAATTATTATTTACAAATTTTATTAAATATACATTTTAAAAATAAAAATGGACACAATTCAACTTCCCTGGCTTCAACAGTGCTATTAGTATTACCTTATGTTACAGAAAGAAAAACAGAAACTTAAAATACATTCTATAACAGGACAGAGTATAATAAACTGTGCGTATAACATCTGTAAATTTTTTGATAAACCATCTTTCAATCGTCAACGTTGCATTTACATATCTTTCAGTTGTGTCCTAATATAGGTACAAATAAGAAGTCCTTATATCAACTAGTCAATTGATAATCATCTCAGCGATCCTCCTTATCTCTAACCAATCATACAAATTTTTCCAAATGTTTTAAATATAATTATTGTGGGTTTTTTTTTTTTTGTAATCCCTATATCACTTTGAACAGCGGCTTTGCCAGTAGCAAATGTTTCATGGCAAGTGGTGCTTGGTCTAACTTCCCTCTTCTTTTCAGGCAAACAGAAGGACCAACAGGACCACTTTATGCATCTTCTAATCCAGAGTATCTCAGTGCCAGTGATGGTGAGAAGCACCTCGGTTTCCATTGCTCACTTTGATTTTTTTTCCCCCAGAGATTGTGACCAAATGTTTCAACATTTTTAAAAAGTTGTTGTTCCCCCTAAGTGGGAGCCTAAGATAATTTGTGACAGCATTTGTTCTTCTTCGCTATTTAATTTAAAGAATAGGAAATGAGGTGTCACGTGGAGTCCCCCAGATTTGGTCCTAAGGCTGGTAGTTTCCGACATTTCATTAATGGTTTGGATGAAGGGCTGAAAATTTCTCATCAAAATTTGCAAATGGAATAAAACGGTTGGGATATGTTTTTCAGTAAAAGGCAGGAGCAAAATTCAAAATCTTAGATAGATTGAAGAATTTGAGCCAAAAATAACAGGGAAAATTAAGAGGGACAAATGCAAAATTGTTTATTGTACCTAGAAAGCAGAAATCCAGTGCCCGAGTGTAAGATGGGGGATAGTTGGCTTGGTAAAAGGGAAGGACTTGATTGGTTGGAAAGGACTTGATAGTCTACAAGTCCTTTCCGATACTGATTCTGCCGTGAAAAAATGATTGAAAGGTCAGAGAAGGAAGCCACGAACGAGAGTAGAATGAGTAACACTGTAAGTATTCATAGTGAAAGGAGAAAGGGATGGATTTCCTGAGATATATTCATGTTTTAAGGCAGTGTTTCTCAACCTTGACAATTTTAAGGCATGTGGACTTCAACTCCCAGAATTCCACAGCCAGCATTGGCTGTGGAATTCTGGGAGTTGAAGTCCACATGCCTTAAAATTGTCAAGGTTGAGAAACACTGTTTTAAGGGCTTATAAACTCCCCGCAGAAGGAAATTTGGCTAGGAAGCACATACAGTCTTCTAAGGCTGGTATGTAAAGGGAACACAACATTCCCTTTACTTTTTCTTTGTACTGATAAAGTGACCAGAAACCAGGAGATTGCGAGTTCTAATCCCATCTGGCTGGCAGTTTTAGTTGTAATGAAGACACTTTTACAGGATGGTAACAGTTCTATTTCCCATTGTTCAACCTCCTGCAGGATACAGCAACGTGAGAAAAAAATAATTGTAAATTAACGTGGGAAACTCCTGCCTTAAGGGAAAACTTGTTTTAGTTTGGAAGAGGTTTTGGGCCTAGCTGCAATTGTGAGATTCAATCTACCTTCTTATCTGCGTTTGAGATCAGCCAGTTTGTGCATTGATTCTTTCTCCACATCTCTCCCTCTCCCCGTAAACTGCAGTTTACATCCCTGATGAATGGGAGGTCCCACGGGAGAAAATTGCCTTGCTGCAAGAGTTGGGACAAGGCTCCTTTGGCATGGTCTACGAGGGAATCGCCAAAGACATTGTGAAAGGCGAGGCGGAGACACGAGTAGCAGTCAAGACAGTAAACGAAACTGCCAGCCTGCGTGAGCGCATTGAGTTCCTCAACGAGGCTTCTGTGATGAAAGGTTTCAGCTGCCACCATGTGGTAAGATGGGGAAGGCTGCTGCTGCTGCTTGCTGGCACATATTTATGGGGGGGGGGGCGAGGAGGGAGGCCTGCCCTCTTCAGCCAGCCTTGAGAAGAAGTCTTTGCGTCTTTATCATAACTTCTCAATTTTGGGGGCATTTTTTTCAGTATGAACTATGAGGATATAGATCAGGGGTAGGCAACCTTGGCTCTTTTATGACTCGTGGTCTTCAACTCCCAGAATTCCTGAGCCAGCATGGCTCAGCTTGGAAACCTCTCCCTTTCCCCTCAGCATGGCTGGCTCAGGGAGTTGAAGTCCACGAGTCATAAAAGAGCCAAGGTTGCCTACCCCTGGCATAGATGATGAAAGGATGTTTTGGTTAGAATAAGAAAGTTTCTTTGGAACTGCTGTAGTTATGGAATAAAGCATATACTTTGCGTTGAGGGAGCAACTCGCTAAGTATGTCTTAAAATTGGCCTTTTTTTTTTTTTTTTTTTTAACTTCTTTCATTAGGTTCGTCTCCTGGGAGTAGTATCAAAAGGGCAACCAACACTAGTAGTTATGGAGCTAATGGCTCACGGAGACCTGAAAAGCTATTTGAGGTCTTTACGGCCAGATGCAGAGGTAAGAATTTGGCGTGACTGTGTTTGTGCACAGAAATGAGGGGATAGAAAAGATGAAAAGGTGATTGGGTTGTAATCCGAATGGATAATAACAGTTTCGGCTCGGCTTTCAGAATAACCCTGGCCGCCCCCCTCCAACTCTCCAAGAGATGATTCAGATGGCTGCTGAGATTGCTGACGGCATGGCTTATCTGAACGCCAAGAAATTTGTCCATAGAGATTTGGCAGCACGAAACTGTATGGTGGCTGAAGATTTCACAGTCAAAATCGGAGGTATGGTCCCCTTCTAGAATGCTTGGGTTCTTATGGAAACAACGGAACATTTCTGTGTGACTCTTAATCGGATCCGGCAGGATCACTGAATCAGTGAATAACAGTTCCAGGGCAACTGGCAGCTAATGGCTCTGATAACATTCTCAGTGGGAATTCAGCCTCTTTCCCGTGTTCTTGCTTGAAGCTGCGGCTGTTTTCCCAATTAATATTTTATTGCAATGTTCTTTCTTCGTCAGACTTCGGCATGACCAGAGATATCTATGAGACAGACTATTACCGCAAAGGAGGAAAGGGTCTGCTGCCTGTGCGCTGGATGGCTCCAGAATCATTGAAGGATGGTGTCTTCACGGCCTGTTCAGATGTGTGGTAAGTAGATACCTGTTGTTTAAAGTCAGTCAGCCAGTCCTAATCCTGTTGTTATCCTCTCTCTTTGAACTAGATACAGGGGTAGGCAACCTGGACTCTTTTATGACTCGTGAACTCGCTCAGGAATCCTGGGAGTTGAAGTCCACGAGTCATAAAAGAGCCAAGGTTGCCTACCCCTGAACTAGATGCTTGACTTTAACTAGAGTAGAAAAAAGAAGAGAAGCATTGATACCAGCCTCTGATCAAGAGGGCACAAAAGGACTACATTCTTCTTGTTTGGTTCCACTGCTTTACTTGCCCTCTTCTCAACTGTTCTGTGGCTGGCATGAAGAACCTCTTCAATATCTCTCATTCCTTCCTTCCTCTTTCCTACAGGTCTTTTGGCGTTGTCCTTTGGGAGATCAGCAGTTTAGCAGAGCAGCCTTACCAAGGACTCTCCAATGAGCAGGTCCTCAAGTTTGTCATGGATGGGGGCTGCCTTGAATGGCCAGAAAACTGTGCAGAGCGACTGTAAGTATCAGGAGTCAAAGTCTGCTGTTGCAAAAATATACAGGCTAAGAAACTACGCATCAGATTTGTACTTCCTTAAAATAGGTGGAAGACAGTCCACCACTGTATTCCACTTGTCTTAAGGAAATACAAGTTTAATGCAGACAGCTTTGGGGGGGGGGCTGCATAACAGTATGTAGGAAGGATCTTGGGAGATAAGACTCAACAAAAGAGATAAAAGGTAACCTTACGCCCACAGCAGGAATGTGAACAGGGAAAGGGGCTCAGAAGAAACCCTCCCTAGTTTCTCCAGCTGTAAAGGGGATGGAAGAAGAAATATACTTTTAGGTTATTTTTCCATTCCAATGTGGGAAAGAGCTTATATCAGGTTTCTTAGTGATTTAAATAGACCAAGTGAGAAAGGATGTTTCTCCTCTGCAACACGACAATTCAATAGAGAGAGAAACAGATCTCCACTCCAGTGAGGAAGTCTTTTTGTGTTTTAATTGGGGCTGGAAGCAAGATCCTGCAATGGTTTGCTAGCAGGCTGGGCAAAACCTAACCTAGTTTGTTTGTCATTCCAGCCACAACCTCATGCAGATGTGTTGGCAGTACAATCCCAAGATGCGCCCCGCCTTTATCGAGATCATTGAAATGCTGAAGGATGATCTTCACCTGACTTTCCGAGAAGTCTCGTTTTTCTACAGCGAGGAGAATAAGCCACCGGAGACAGAAGAGTATGAGCTGGACTTTGAAAACATGGAAAGCATCCCTCTTGACCCAGCCTCTTACTCTCAGAGGGATGAGATCCTAGGGCGGGACAATGGGCCCTCTCTAGGGTTCAAAGGGAACTATGAGGAGCACATCCCTTACACTCACATGAATGGTGGCAAGAAGAATGGCCGTATCCTCTCCATGCCTCACTCAAGCCCATCCTAATAGACCCCTTGGCTTTTCCTCACGATACAAATCTCAGGACTTGCAGTATTGCTGGCACAGCATTTGAGACACACCGATTTACTTTCTATTCAGATTTTTAATCATCAAAATAGAACGGCCATTGGGGTAGGGGAAGGTTTCTTGTGTGTTTCTGTTCTTCTTTTTTTGGTGCAACAATTCACTTGCTGTCAGCGGACTTTATCTGTGAAACAAATGGACAATTCTGTGGCTGCTGATCTCCTCTCGTGCAACTCTGATTTTGAGGTAGGAAGTGATTTCACACAACAAAGTTGGAAAAGAGAACTTCTGTCTACCCCTTGTATTGAGCGGAGGAACTGCGGGTTCTCTCTACTACTGCAGGGAAGGGAGCCTTGGACTGGATCGTTCCCAAGCCGAACCTGAAGCTCTTCTCTTTTGCCAGCCTCTCTGGAGAACCTCTTTTGTGATTTTAGCATTTTTTAAAAAAAGACTGAAGGATCTTCAGGATGTGTGGAATGTGGTCTGTCTTTTTCCTTTGATTTGACCAACAGCTGCTGCTTTTCTTCTTAATGGATTAACTAGTATGTGTGCCCTGAATGTGTATGTGTGTGTGTGTATGGAGGTACAGGTGAAAATGGATAAGTCCTTTTGTACATAATAGTTTTATCTAACCACAGAGGTGAGAGGGTGTCCCTGTCCTTCCTGCCTGGCCCAAATTCCCCTGACACGAATGAATTTTGAATACATTATTTTTATACTGAAGAAACTCTTTGGGGGATTGCATCTCCTCTGCCATTCAGCGAAACGAGGTAGCCAAAGTGGTAGCCAATATTCTGTTTAGGATTTTGTGAGACATTACAAGACTAAACAAGGCAAAACAAAGCCAAATTCTCTCCCCTTCGTCTTACCGACCTGCCTCATGACTCTGGAGCTCTGTCTGGTTAGCATTAAGTGTATATGTTTGTTGTGACATATTTAAATCATAGATAGTGAACCACCATATAAATTATTGACACCTTCCTTGATTTTTGTTTGTTTGTTTGTTTAGCTTTTGCCCTATGGAGGGGAAAAGAGGAGGAGCTTGCTTGTTTGGTCTTTAAGGGGCCTTAAGTGTGTAAACTGATTCTAGCAAGTTAAGCGCTAGGAGATATAGTGCACAAACCTGTGCTTTAATGTTCAAATAATAGAGTGGCATGTGCATATTAATTTTTCAAAACATTTCACAACTCACCGTGATGCAAATTCTGAAACAGTTGGTCACCAATGGTGAAATCAAGCCTTAGCAGCTCTGACGGAGGTCTCTTAGCTCTGAAAGTTACATGAAGCCTGCCTACATTTTACTGGACTCTGTTACTCTTCCCCTTCCCAATTTGTGGGGGTCATTTCAGTATGTGCCCGGACCAGAGAAGAGCTACTTAATCTGTCAACTAGAAAACGTCCTAGCTAAGGGAGAGAAAAAAAAAAAATCAAAACCGCTCCTTCTGCTTACATGGAGCAAAGTGGATTGTGTGCAGAGTTCTGGAACCTCCACACACAGTCTTTGAGTCAATGGTTGTGTTTTTTTCCCTTGGCTTTCTCCTACCATTTCTGCTTAGTAAGCACAGTGCCAGAGAGTAAATATCCAGTGGTACCCTGTCCACCCCCAATTCACTTGCACACCTTTGCATAAAATGAACAGAAGCAATGCAGGCACCTTCCTCAGATTTCCAGTCAAGCTTCTGTGGAAGAACTGTGTGGAAGAGAGTAGGATTTTTCTAGCTTTATCTGTTCCAGCATCTTGTTCTATCAGTGTCAACCAGTGCCCGAGTTGGTAACCTCCAAGGAAAGGCAGCCTTGCTGGTCCCAAAACAACTGATGCTCTACAGTTACTTCTGGAGGATAGAGGGCTTGGAGGGTCTATACTGCAGTCCGGTAAGAACTTATCTTGCCCACTTTTAAAATCCTGTAGAGCAGTGTTTCCCAAACTTGACAATTTTAAGGCATGTGGACTTCAACTCCCAGAATTCCACAGCCAGCGTTGCTGGCTGTGGAATTCTGGGAGTTGAAGTCCTCATGCCTTAAAATTGTCAAGTTTGGGAAACACTGCTGTAGAGCCAAAGACTGCTAGAAGATGAATTTTAAAAAGGGAAGCAGAGAAGGATGGCATATCTTTAAAGTTTACCTGTTAGAAAGGGTGTAATCTTTCTACATGTGTGCCAATGCTATCTTTGTTTGTTTCTCCATCAGTGTAGATTGTGTATCTCCGTCCCCATCCGCATAAATTATGTGTTTGTAAGTACTTCTATGTTTTGAAGTTCAGAAGCTTCTGAATTTAGTTTTCAGACAATGTCTCTCCACCCTCCAGTGCACTTTAGCCTTTTTGTTGCCTGCCCAGGCCTTTCCCCCAGTCTGATCCATAACATAAGTCTGGGTTCCCTCTTAGTCGTTCATATCTCTGAAGTTCCAACTTCACATTTCAAGTGCTCTTCAGTGCAAGATGAATCTGTTCATCTGCTGAAAAAGGACCTCACCAGAAGCTTTCTTTATCTTAGTTTTCCTGCGTTTTACATAAGCTTTTAATTTTTCCTTATAATGTGAATTTTTATGAAAAAAAAAACACAAAAAGGATCGTGTTATCATTATTAAAAAAAAAAGCAAATTTTAGGAGTTTGGGTTTCAATCTGTGTTAAAACCTTAAACTTTTGAATCTGTCAGTGTTTTGCAACTAAGCCTTGTGGGCTAGCAGAGATGGTGTGTAGCTCTTCTTATTTTAGTCCATCTGTTTTCCCCAATTAGTTGGCATGGAAGAACGAGGGTGGTCTCCAGGGATTTTCTCTTTTTCATTTCCCTATTTCATCCTGAAGTGCTTCTAGATTTTTCTTTTTGGAAGCAAAACATTGTTCACCGGTCATTTGAGAGTGATCATCTCACCTACAAAATTGCTTTATTGATTGTGGGGGGGGGGGGGAGAGGAAATGGGAAATTAAAAACTGATGAGTTGTCTTAAAATCCTAAAACAAGCATTTCTAGGAAATTTTATATCGTCCAACTGGATATCCTGACATGGAGAAGTTTGAACTAGCATCCCTGTGGTTGAGCACATGAATGTGCCAGTGCTTTGCGCCTTTGAAGGGAGGAGAGGAGGAGCAGATTTGACCCTCCGAGAGGATTTCTGCTCTTCTTGTAGGCATAGCAAAAAAAATGTTGCCTTAGAAGCCAGTCAACTTCTTCCCAGTTTATGTGTGTATATGATCACAGAACACAGTTTTTGATTGTTGGGTTTTTATATATAAAAAAGCCTCTTGTTTTAAAATAAAGGATCAACATGTGCCATGGTTTTGAAAAAGAAAATAGAGAATATACTCACTTGATTTATTTTTTCAGTGCTTTCATATAAGAGCCGAGCAGTGATATGTACAGAGAGTATCTTTGAATATAAAAGTGAAAATTTGCTGTGTGTAAAATATTAAACAATTAACTGTTTATATTAAAATAAATAAATTCTGAATAAATTATCCAAGGATATATCTAACAGATGAGTCCTTTTGTCCTTTTTTGTTCACTGGCATCCATTATTTAGGAGTAGAAAAAGCCTGTGGAATTTACAGCAACTTCTTAGCTGGAGATGCAAAGCATCTGAACCCTAGAGACATTTTCACAGAAGTTCCTTTACATTTGAATATGCTTTCAGGATCAGTCATTGGAAAGCTGGCCAGCATTCTCCACATCCCCTCTGCCCCCCTCATTCACCCATTTCCTTATCTTTGTGTTTCTTTAAAGATGGCTTTAGGCCAGTGGTTCTCAACCTTTTTAATGCCGCGACCCCCAACCGGTCGTAAGTCGAGGACTACTCAACCGGTCGTAAGTCGAGGATTACTCAACTGGTGCAGCACCGTTTGCAGAATGGGACTTTTGGCGGGCTCAGCAGGGCAGAGACAGCCTGGACAATTCCTATTGGCTTTTGAAAGCCAATAGAATTAGACTCTATTCAAGAGAGTCTATTCTATTGGCTTTCAAAAGCCAATAGAATAAAAGGGAGTAGCACAGTTAAGGAAAAGGGGAAAAAATGGCAGACTGCATTGTTTGGCAACCCTCGTGAAATGGTCGTTCGACCTCAAATGGGGTCCCGACCCACAGGTTGAGAACCACTGCTTTAGGCAAGGTTGAGGCTAGTTATATTTGTTTTGGTTTTTTTTTAAATTCTGTTTGGGGGTGGGTGGGCCTCTTACCATAAGTCTTTGGCTTCCCAATCTTTGTGATTTTCTTGGCTACAGCTGGAAATGTGGTTGCTTCAGTTTCTTTAGTGAAAAGGGATCCTTTGGAAATTGTTTTGCTCTTGAAATTTGATCTGGGGATTGTGGATTTAGACCAACAAAACACTGTGTTTTCATGTAAATGTCATGCCAGTTTCTTTGTTGTTAATTTCCTTCCTTGCCCTTAGATGGGTATTGAATAAGATAAAGGTGGCTAAGATGCCATACTTACACTAACGCGAGTGTCCCAACTCATCATGCGGTCCAGCCACAAAATTAGTGCGAAAAATGACTTGTGCAAAGTGAATGAACCAACCATGGGAGGAGAGTAAGACAACAGATGTTGCCCAAGGGAAAAGGAAGTGTTGTGTTTAAAGCTGTTGTTTTGCAGTGAGTGTGTGGACTGGCTTTTTCCATCGAAGTTTATGTTGAATGCCTGAGGAGAAATAAGTGCCGTAGGGAGACTTTCAAGGAGGAGACACCATGGGGCAGATATTCTGGGTAAGTGCCACATAAATGTGGCTTTGAACTTTATTCCATAACTAGCATATTAGAAAACAAATGTTGAAGTCCAGAACTGTTCTTGAAGATTAAGCAAAAGAAAAAGGAAGTGGGAGACAAAAACATGCCATCGGAGGTATTTTGTGGATAGCACAAAACACAACAGCAATGGTGATTTTGAACAGAACTTGAATCTAGGACTTTTCTGCAATTGCGTCCTTCAAGTAATTTTTTCTTTATGCTTAAATAATTCTGGAAATTTGGAACCTTCTCCACTGTACTAAATTCTAATGAACGCATTATATTACTGGCAATTCTGATTATATTTCTAATGAACTGGCTGCATTTTTAAAATGTAAATTACATTAATTATATACTCTGGCTGTTTCAAAGCAGCTGTTTCAAAGGTATGTTTCCAGGAAGAGGAGACCCTGAGGCCATTCATCTTGCTTGTTCTTTGCTTTATGTGTGTTAATAGTTGTAATGCAAGCTGCTAACTAAACATGTTGCGTTTGAGGTTGCAATGGTTGCATAACAGGCAGAACATAAAAAGACTCTGCTCAAAATTACTTAATTGCTCTCCCTATGGAAGTTAATTAACTTGGTCTGTTGCAGCAAAGACCTGTTAAATAGGCCAATGTGGTATAGCAATTAAAGTGTTGCACTAGGGCCAAGGAGGCCCAGATTCAAATCCACCTGATCGACTTTGCCCTTCTGTCGTAGCCTGACCTATTTCACAAGATTGTTGTAGATAAAAACTGGAGGATGTATACCACTTTGAACTGGAGAAAAGGAATAGAATAGAACAGAATAGAATAATAGAATAGAGAGTTGGAAGGGACCTTAGAGGTCTTCTAGTCCAATCCCTGCTCAGGCAGGAAACCCTATACCATTTCAGACAAATGGTTGTCCAGTCTCTTCTTAAAAATCTTCAGTGTTGGAGTACCCAAAACTTCTGGAGGCAAGTCATTCCACTGGTTAATTGTTCTAACTGTCAGGAAGTTCCTCCTTAGTTCTAGGTTGCTTCTCTCTTTGATTAGTTTCCATCCATTGTTTCTTGTCCTGCCTTCAGGTGCTTTGGAGAATAGCTTGACTCTCTCTTCTTTGTGGCAGCCCGAGATATTGGAACATTGCTATCATGTCCCCCCTCCTCCTTCTTTTCATTAAATTAGACATATCCAATTCCTGCAACTGTTCTTCATATGTTTTTGCCTCCAGTCCCCTACTCATCTTTGCTGCTCTTCTCTGCACTATTTCTAGGGTCTCAACATCTGTTTTTATGTTGTGGTGACCAAAACTGGAGCAATATTCCAAGTATGGTCTCACCAAGGCATTACAAAATGGTACTAACACTTCACGTAATCTTGATTCTATCCCTTGGTTCTATCCCTTCTGTGTCATGTATTCTGACCTGAGTCTGGGTGTGCCTTTCTGGTATTCTGATGGTGATGGGTTAGTCCTATTATGTCCCAAGGGTTATATCCTGCTTCCCTGGTGCTGGGGTTAATGACTTAGAGTTTGGGTGGGGTATGCGGATTTTAGCTGTCTTTGTTTTCCTAAGCATCTAGCTCCAACTTTCCTGATGGTTTACATCTGCATTTGTACAGGGCTGGTTTATGCTTGGGACAGAGAGACTTGGGGGAAGGGTTGGTTTCTGCTTTTAAAATCCTTTGAGGAAATATATTTTTCTGCCCTTTTAATATTTCCTTCTCTGGGGGGGGGGATGACTTCCCACACCTCTATTAATGCAGACTAGCACTGTGTTGGCTTTTTTGGCAGCTGCAGCACACTGCTCGCTCATATTTAGGTGATTGTCTACTAGGAATCTGAAGTCCCTCTCACAGTTGCTACTATTGAGCAAAGTACAACCTGTCCTATACTATACCTGTGAATTTGGTTTTTCTTGCCTAAATGTAGAACCTTACTTTTTTCACCACTGAATTTCATTCTGTTAGATAGTGTCCAATGTTCAAGTCTGTCAAGATCCTTCTGTATCTTTTTTTTTTTTAATTGAAAATTTTTCAAATTTTACAAGACAAATCCCCTCCCCAAACCCCCCCAGCCTCCCATACCCTCCCCCAACTCCCCAAACCTCCCTAACCCTCCCCTGGACCTCCCAGAGTTGATTACGGGCTTATCCAAAATATTTCAAAAAAAAAAAAAAAAAGAAAGAAAAAAAGAAAAAACTTAAAACACATATAAAACTTAAAACACATATAAATCCTAAACAAATCTTAATATTCTAAATTAAATAGATATCTCTAAAAAGTAATAATCATTAAACACATTATAATATACTCTGAACATCTTCTAATCATGCTTATAATATTATCCACCATTCTATATAAATTCCTCCCAAAACACAATTTTAAGCACTACTTTCTTTGAACATCTATAACTATAATATAAAATCTAATATAAATCATAAACAAATCTAAATACATTTAGTTAAACGAGTTATACTCCCTCCAAAACGCAAATTTAAACATAAACACAAATTTAAACATTACTTAAAACTTTAAACATTAGAATCCCCTTATACACATTTAACCAAATTTCATCTTAAAAATAGTAATAATAATAATTAGAAAAAATAAAAATAAACCCAGAGACTAAACACATTATAGTATACTCCAAACCTTCTAATATCATGCTAATATTATTGTCATTTTTATAAACTCCCCCAAAACACAAATTTAAACATTACTTAAAACTTAAAAAATCCCTTATACACATTTAAGTCTTTATCAATAAGAAATTTCATCCACAATAAACACATTAAACATTTAAATCTTCACCAATAACAAATTCCATCCACAAAAAAAAACACAATCCTTATCAGTCTCAATTGTCCATTTTCATTCTCCATCCATTATCATACTGATCCTTCTGTATCTTAAGTCTGTCTTCTGGAGTGTTGGCTATCCCCTCATCCAAATCATTGATGAAGATGTTGAAGAGTGCTGGGCCCAGAACAGAGCCTTGGCACAATATAAATGTAATATAGGCAGTCCTCAACTTACAACCGATCATTTAGTGACTATACAAAGTTACAATGGATTATCCAAAAGCTACTTATGACCCAGTCTTGAAGTTCCAATGTCACCCATCTTGTAGGCACATGACCAGAGTTTGGGCATTACACACTTATGGCCATTTGTCCTGCCTGCACTTGTGACTGTGAATTGTGATGGTTTTGCTGGAAACTGGCATTTTACTGACAAAAACAGCCTGTAGCGAAGAAGGGGTGAACTTAATGATTGTGGTATTCACTTAATGACCATGACACTCGCTTTACAACTGCCACATTTCTTTAATGTCTGCAGTGAAAAAATTTGCAAAATCGGGTCCGATAGCATGGTGACCCACTTGATGAATATCACAACTTGCAACCGTAATTGCTAGGCTCAATTACAATTGTAACTTGAGGATTACCTGTAAATGCATATTCTAAACTTGCTAATATGTAAGATCCCACCATCTGCTTTGCTATTATTTTAATAAATGATTTGAATAAAATCCTCTGTGGCTTTTTTATGTGAAAAAAGATATTTGTAGCACCTTTTCAACTAATACATGATTAAAAGGCATCATTCAAGAAAACGGATTAGAGCACTTTAGTGACAGCTTAAAACTGAAGGCAGAGACTGGAGATCTGGTTCCCTCAAGAGAAATCCCTGTGACAAGCATTACAATTGTATTTTAAAATATGGCATTTGTGTACAGGTAGTCCTCGAGTTACAGCCATTTGTTTAATGACAAGTTGAAATTACAATGGCACTGAAAAA